TTTTTTTTTCAAATTTGAAACTCCCTTTTCTCAATTTGTTAACCTTTTGCCATGAGATAGATTCGACTCATAAGTGTCATCACCAACATGTGCAACTCAAATCAATATCAAGACTCAAAAATGAAGTATTAGTTTGGAGTCTTCTCGACTATATCCTAGTTACAGCCCCCATTCTCTATTATGTAGATTGGGGATGTCCATATTTGGGACCACAATCAGAAGAAATACAGTAGCAATGCTATTAAGAGAAAAAATCATTGTGAAGAAGAGGCGATCAAAGATATTAGCCAGTTGCGACCAACGGGCAACCAATTTCTCAAGCTGTTCCGCTCCAACGCGATTGATCTGGAAAGTTATGCTGAGCAATCGTGTCTCACATTATGAAATTAGTCTTACAACGTCCTTACTGACTAGGTTTTCGTTGTCGGGCACATCGAGTCTTACGCTGCCATGCTTCATCTTTTTGTACCTCTGATTTATTCGTCTCTCCATCGAGCCGCCACCAAAAATTGGCGCCAAAATAGTGAAGCCGAGCACTTCGAGCCACGGTGGAATACTAAAATAAATATGGAGAGTCGATTGAATTCTTGAAATAACTGGGCTTGTGGCTCTCACTTACAAAAGCCATACTATATGTGTGCAGACAGTGAGCGAAAATGATTGAAAAGGGCGTTGGCTTGAGGGGAAAGAGGAAGGGGGAGGAGAGGAGGGCTAATACAATTTATGAAAACTGTCTAAAGTCCACATCAAGATTAACCTGAGTCATTTTGTTATTCAACTAGGTTCACATTTAATCTTCTTAACACCTAGAGGAGCTGCAAAGTTGTGAAAATGTTTCTGCTTTATTCGATTATCTCATACTGAAAAGAAAATCAAAAGTTTTTTTTCCTCAAAGTTACTAGAAGAATTGCTCTTGATTACTTGCTAACAAAATGTGGTAGTGGTACATAGAATATGTTGAGAAGAACTCTCATGTTTATTTCTCTAGATGAATAAAGAATTAACAGTGAAAGAATTGAGATGTAGACTTTCACCATAACACCTATGGTGGGACGTCATGGGAGATGTACTCGTATAAAAACTGATTAAAGCATCCAAGCAGCTATTCATCCATAAACTACCTACAAACGAACACAAGAAGAGTATGTGTGCATAACTAAATTCGTTTGTCGCTTTGGAGACATTGCCAAGATATGATTCTTTTTGGCGCATATTTAAGAAAATTGTCAAAAATCGAAATTAATCCGCCACAATGAGATATGTCTCGTCCTACCGCCGGTTTAACTTTCTTACGCACCCCTAAGTAAGACCGTTAGGCTACCATAGGTTACTTCAGCGCTTTAATAGTCATGTCCTTTCCTCTCCCTCCTGTTCACTCTTTTCCTCCGAAATTCGAATGTTGCGGTCTCATCTCCATATCGCACCCACCGCAAATGGCATAATGCGCAACATTGTGACGGAATAGATAGATGGCAAAACAAGCTCGCAGATAGTTGCCATTGGACAAAACTATTACAGCATCTTAGATTCCAGCATATCGTTATAAACAAGGCACAAGGTTAGATAGAAATTGTTCCAGTTTTCGAAAAAGTGCGATGTAGGGAGAAAGTTATTTTGTTAGATTACATAAACAGTATGAATTAGATGGAGAGGAGCAGGCCCTCCAATCAAAGAAGTAGAGACCCTTGACTCGGAATAATCCCAATAGAATACCCTAAGTTAATTAATGCTAGAAACAAGTTGATCGGAAATGCTTTGAAAGGTTCGCGACGCTTCATGGATCTGCCCTGAAATGTAGTTGCCCCGACCCTTTTCCCAGTATACCTGCAAATGATTGATAGCATATGTAACACATAATTCACTTAATTCTGGATAATTTGCATTTTTGGCACATCTTCATTGTACTGAGAAGAAGTAAAAGATTTTTCTACAAGTCACTAGCAATACACAAAATCAGGCAAAAAAACTTTCGAAACTTATAAACAGTAATATTATTTACGAGATTAAATGCAATAGCATGATTTGTATTGTCAAGAATCTTTGAGCATAATATCCCATAGAACCCAAAAATATTTAGCGTCAATAAGCTAAATTTCTTTTCGTAAGATAGTTTTTTTGTAATTGTAGGTAGAATAGAGTCTAGCTACTCTTCCGCCTTTTGATTTAAGAATATATAATGTTTGCTCTCCATTTTTTAGACGTTTTTAGAACTCATCTGTGAAATTCTTCCTACAATCGCGTTAGTGCACATACCTATCAGAGTAATCAGCACCATGTCGGAGATTCAGCACAAATACTGAGAAACTAACAGACAATGCAGAGATGCCCATAATTGCCATCAGATAAATCGCTGAAAGCAGTCTAATTTTGCTGGTTTAGAGGTACAGTAGTTCAATTTATTGATTGAAAATTGATAGTTAAAAACCACACTTTGAGCGGACCTATCAGAGGGATGACCTCGGATGTTTCCGGCATGCTTTCGGCGATATTAAAGCTGAACACGGAGTACGCGAGCAACACTGTCAAACCGAGTGTCACCTTTTCGCCACTTTCAGATGGAAGCATAAACTGTGTAACTGTCAGAATCTAAACAATACTTACATTTTGGATTTGCATGCCATATTAAGGATATGCTTACTGATAGCATCACGCACGGAGCAATGATATTATACATGAAAAAGAGGGTTCGTCGACGGAGGTGTAATTCGAAGACTACCGTAGCATATCTGCAAGTTTTGTTGATTATGGTAAATACTACGAAGAAAGAATCTGTGTTGTAAGAGGTCGACGAGTTTTCAGGCTTAGAGTTGGTAAGTTTCCTCGAAGAAGTAGTGCAGCATTCATCACTCAGCAACTTCTCATGGAAAAAGTATGAGCCAAAAGTATGTGTGTAAGGAGACGTACTCAGAGTTCTCACTGTGTTGTTGGTACTTGAATGTACGGTTATCGACAATTTCCCATTCTCCATTCTCTGTAAAGGAATCCCTAGTGAATGGAGAGTTCCCGTCGTGTCGAGTAACCATTGTTAAATT